ATCTTCTTCATGTTCATTATCATCAGTCACTACTATTAGTGTAGTTGTTGCTACTGTTGTTGCTGTGCACCACAGGCTGAGAAACACACTTGAAAGGCAGCTCCAGAATGGGCTGGTGTTGTGAGCAGGCTGTCTTACATGACGCTGGTTGTGGCTTTGGAGCATGGCGGATCAATCCAGTCCAGCAGTAGCTGTTGTGTGCTTTGAGTGTCTGTAAAAGCATTGTCCAAACAATGAGGGTGGGTGAGGGTGAAAGGCATCCTCAGTGTTAACCAACAGCCAATAAGCACCCAGAGACCATGGTTATCGGTCTGTTTAGAGGCTAATGTATATGTTGAATTACATTTACTGGTGGATCTTTTACACCAACTTTCATGTACAACTGCAAACTGTGTAACCTTGTTCTTGATTTCTAACCTTACCAGGTTTTGAAAGACTCATTTGATCAACAGAAATGTAATTTCTACACATTATAAAGTCTGCCACTTTTAGCGTAATTCATTTCTGTGAAAATCTTTATAAATAATTCCACAGAAGCTTCCATGTTAAATCAAGGTTTCACATTTAAAATTCCTTTTTGTCCTCTAAAAAAAACTTAATCATCCAGCTGGCACAGGAGAGCAGCAGCTTTTGATATCCAATAGTCGCTGGGTCGCTTGGAGGGGAGCATTACTGTCACAACAAAATTAGTTGAGTGACCTGGAGGGAGACAGAAATGAAGGGTGAGGGAAGTCAAATCGATCCATAACAGAGCTTCAAGGTGAAAGAGATTCTGTACACACAAAATCTGCACCAAACTAGTAAGTAACAATCAAGATGTACTTCCATGCTTAACTGCCCTTGAGCAAAGCTGAAAAATGTCAGCTAAATGCACGTCTAAACTAGTATGTGAGTGAGGGTCCCTGTATGGATCCATTGCGTACCGGTGGTGGACAGAATCCCGGCTCTGACTGAGGTCTTGTACAGAGGAGCATGGTAGAGGTCGGGCTCAGGCATGTAGTTTCGCTGTGGCTCGAAGTGCACCACTGGCAGCACAGCGTTCATCACTCGAGGTAACGCATCCTCAATCACCATGTTGTCATCATCCCAGCGACTGGCATCCATGAACATGCCGTGCACGAGGACACCGTCCTCCGGCTCTGGTAACTGTTGTGTGCACAAAATGTAAATTATGTAGCAATGGTGCAGAGTATGCTCTCACATTTAGCAATGTTCTGACTGCAGCTGCTCCTTCTGGCGATGTCTTACCAACATAAACATTTTCTTTGCCTTCATAGAATCTTTATACAGCTAAACAGAAGACACTATTTCATTGTTTACAAACTTTTTTTGTATTATTTATTATTCCTCCCATGGAAATTTATGATGTCTGTTGCCTCGATATTATGCTGCCTTCAAATGAAACTTGTGAGCTTATGGTTACAAAATGGGAGCGTTCAGAAAATTAAAAGAAAAAGTTTGTAAATACCACAAGAGGGAGCTTTCAAATGGCAACAACCAGAACTGACTAGATTCAACATCACATGAAAACAACAACCCCCCTTTTCCAGTACCTCCTCATCCATGTCCATTTTAGCGTTGTTGGGGAGAGTCCGTAGAGCCTCGCACACTGCTACCTGGTCCCTGTACACCGGCACCATATTGAAGCGGAAGTTGAGCTCATCGATGGGCAAATTGTAGTGCCTGGCATGATTCTGAAGAACCCCTACAGGCCAGCAGGCAGAAGAGAACATGAGCAATGTATTTCATTGTGTTCTTTCGTAAGATCTAAAAGTATATAAACAGTGACAGTGGTGTGGATATTGTTGAGTAGTGAAAAATCAATCACATTATTTGTGATTATATCACTATACTCCAGCAGCTCTGAAATGTGCCTTGCTGCGATGGCTCATTACAAACATTGAAGATATTTTTTGCTGCTGTGTTTTACCAGTAAGAAAGCCTTGAGGGAAGAAGAATCCTGAGATCCAGAAAGATTTGGGTGGACCACGTGTGATCCATGTCTAACAAGCCACAGAGAGAGAGATGTAATTAAATGCGTGTATCTTTAAATAACATGTTGTGCTCAGTTTTCAAAAAAAGCAACAGTGCATTAAAGGCATCCTTTTACTTATGTACCTCTGGAAAGAACGTGAATGTTCATGTATTATTAGTGTTTTCTGACTTGATGAGAAAACAGACACAAAAATACACTTGCATGCAGGCACATAAACAAACAATCTGGTTTGCAATGCAATGTGCCTGCATCCCTGTCTCATCCAAACCTGAATAAAGGAGGTCCTGAGGGCCAGGTCTCTGACCCAGGAGGCCAGAGGTTTGAGGGAAAGGTAGGCAGAGTTCGCCCAGTGGGTGGGAACCTGGTTGTTCAGGAAGCTTGTGTATATGCGGTCCATCTCTTCTGACATCACCACCAGACCTGCTATGGCCTTTTGCAGAGTGATAAGAGACAACTGGGAAACACACAAATATCATACGTCACAATGGGCTGGTGGAAAAGACAATGAAGAAAATGAACTTTGGCCAAAGCTGTTTTCTAGCAACGAAATGTGAATATGTTCAAAAGTGTGAGTTAATGGCTGCCGGCTGTGTGTGTCACCCTGAGAACTCTCAGCAGGTTGTTAAATCGATCTGTTTCTTGGCCCAACACGGTCGTCAAGGAGTTAAGGCGGTTGTTTTTGTCTCGGACAAACAAAGTTTCCACTGCCTCATCCATGTCCAGACACTCTGCACAGAGACAGGTAGACAGGAAGACGAGTAGGGACACAAACTGATAATAGATAATAGACAAACATGGTACAACATGATAGGAACATAAACATAATATGTTCCAGGCTTTAAAAATCAGGATTCATAAAGAGTGAACCATAAAAACAAAAACAAAAAAACACTCAAATAAATCTGTATCTGTATATGTGTGCGCTCGTGTGTGTGTGTGTGTGTGTGTACCGGATAGCTTGGCTAAAATGGATTCAGCAAGCTCGCAGACTATGTCATCGTTACTTTTAGCTCCATGATGGGCTGATGAGCGAGGATTAACATCCAGTATGGTGTTGATTAAAGTCATGGTTTCTTGGCGCTGTGAAGGCAAACATATAACACACACACACACACAGACTTGTTTACTGATATTTTACAGTTGCACTTTCAGACTTTCTGAATAGAAATGCTTTTATAGTCAGCCATTAACGGTATGCAGCTCAAAATTAAATCATGAACAGGTTAATCAATAATGACATTTATTGGTTATAATGAACCATTCAACTCATCACCCTGCTGCAAAACAAACAAATAAACTGAAAAATAATAAGTCAATTAGTTGCACATATGCTTATATGATTCTATCACAAAAAAAATAATATAAAATCTGATCGTATATGTAAGGAGGGACGAACTGTTCCTCACCTGGAAGGCCAGGTTAGCATTCTCATGCATGCCAAAGACCTCGGGATCATCTATGATTGGAAGACTCTCAATGTATTTCTTATATTGCTCTAGTTCATCTGTCTCTGGGGCATGGTAGATACCTTAAACACACAGTAACAAAAGAATTAATTCAAAGAAAATGTGTAGTATACTGGTATGAGCTTGCACTTAGATAAATTGACGTTTTCAAACACACACACACACACACACACACACACACCTGCTATATTGAAGTCCATTATATTTGAAAGTGTTCCTGTTATTTTTGCCATGTACGCGCAGAGAGTCAAGGAGAGAGTTTGAGATTGAAATACCTGATGAGGAGAAGGTGTATCCAGGCTCCAGGGTTTGAGGCGAGAAGAAGCCTTTGAGGATTGTCCTGAGGCAGCGTTGGTCCCAGGCATCCGTCACTCTGCCTCCATATGTGATCTCACCTGGGGAGACAGACACAAAGACCACATGATGTTATCAGTCTGCATCAGCACTTCTTTGTAACTAATAGAGTAGATGCTGGTTTTAATGACCACCCCTGCTTTAGTCCCACACTACAATAAGACATTCATTTAGGAAATCTGAATATGGATGAATGTAAACGATATCAGGAGAAAGAGATCTTGAACAGACAGCTACATTAACAATTATCATACAATAACCTTTTTCTTCTTCACTCACACAGTGATATGAAAAGACGTAAATAAGAGTGTGATACCAGCCACACATTTTCATTGAGGGGCATCAGGAGTGTCTCCAGTTCTGTGGTTAGGTCAAGATTAAAACGAAAAAGGTTTAGGTTTAGGGTTAGGGTTAGTAGGCAATGACATGAAGACATGAAGAGAGACAAGAGGAAAGGAATTGTGAAAAGACAAGCATGTCTGACGACATAACTATTACCAAAGAGCAAAACAGGAGATGGCATTTAAGTTATATCTAAGCATTTACATTTCAACACTTTAAAATCCATACTTACTGTAAAGACATAATTATGTAAGACAGCAAGGAAGGGAGGGAATAATCAGAAAAATCTCTGCTGCAGGCTGTTAAAGTTGGCAGATATATTCTTTTTGCACCAGAAGAAAGAAACTGCTCCTTCTAGGAGGAAAGGCAATATCATGCTCATGCCCTCGGAGAGTATGTAGCTGTACCACACAAGGATGAAGTATTAAACTAATAACAGTATGATAACAACAATCAGAAACATCTTTTTATTTTTTTTATTTCTATAAACACAAAGCAAAGACAGACCAGTAAAAGTTCACTGAGTGAAAGTTGAACAAACACAGGATCGCAGCTGCAGAGCGAAATCGTGTTACGGAACTGCCCCGCTTTGTGAAATCAGCAAACAGTTGGCCTTCCCCATTTCACATGATTCTGAAAATGTGTGTGTTGTTGATTAAACGACAGGGTGCAGTCTGTGCCACACACTGGCAACACAACAAAAACACCTTAGTGAAAGCAAGAGAGAGTTTCCATCCACACTTTATTTAAAGCACTTTACCATGTTGTATTTTCAGAGCCACATTAATGTGTATCATATGAAAAATGTTATTGGAGTAGTATGTCACACATACACAACCCCAAATGTTTGAACATGTGCTGTACATTTGTGCCTATAAGTATTTAGATTGATGTGTGTAGGCTTCCCTACCAGTGATGTAGGTGAGAGCGACCCAAGGGATGGTGCCGTCTTTGC